TGTGCAGCAGTTCAAGTTTGATAGGAAGAGCCTGGTCTCAGTTACCAAGGAAGGCCTAGGGCTACCAGAGGATGAAGAGGAGAAGAGCAAAAATGGAAGAGAGCAAGGACAAGTTTGAGAACCTCTGCAAGCTCATGAAAGAAATCTTAGATAAGAAGGTTGAGAAGATAACAATCTCCAATAGACTTGTGTCTTCATCCTGTGACTAGTACATATGGCCGGATGGCCAATATAGAACAGATCATGAAAACCCAAGCACTGCAGGACAACTCTACAATAGGCTACATGATGGCCAAAAAGCACCTGGAGATCAATCCAGATCACCCCACTGTGGAAACACTGAAGCAGAAGGCTGAAGCAGACAAGAACGACAAAGCTGTCAAGGTCCTAGTGGTCCTGCTCTTTGAAACTGCACTGCTCTCTCTGGCTTCTCGCTTGAGGATCCCCAGACCCACTCCAACCACATCTACCGCCTTATCAAGATGGCCTTAGGCACTGATGAAATGACAGCTGAGGAACCCAGTACTGTTGTTCCTGATGAGATCCACCCCCTTGAGGGTGATGAGGATGCATCTTGCATAGAAGAAGTAGATCAGTTATTTCTACCTACAAAACTTGTGCCCTCTGTAGTGTCCCTGTGGTTCCCACAGCAGCCTTGAGTGGCCCTGTCCCACCTGGCTCCATCTGCTAATAACTAGGGGTTATTTTTGCTCATGGGCCTTATGTGTAAGGAAGGATGTTAGGTCCTCAGCCCCTGCCCCCTCCCTTATTTGGGAGTGAGGTTAGATGTTGTATATTGTGTTTTTTTGTTGTTTATTTTGTTCTGACATTAAAATATGCAAAATAAAAATGATGTTATTTTATACAAAAAAAGAAAGAAAATGTTCTAGGTATCCAGTAACTCCTTAGCCTTAGGCTCCAACCAAAGAGCAGAGACTCAATGACCTCAGCTGGGCAAGGTCCAGGCATCTCCACCCTGTAGCTGTGTGAAGGACCTAACCCAGCTTCACCAAGTGAAAGTCGTAGGAAGAAAGGGCAACCACATAACCCTTAACAAGTTATAACTCTAACGTGGTTTTATTATTCTCGGCTTGTAGACCTTGGATCATTTTTATAAACAATTGAGTTTTCAAAATACCATACTAAGATCAAAGCAAATTTATTTTACATAATTTGGCTACTAAAGTAAGAAATCATACAAACAAGAATTTACAAATAAGTATCATCTTGTTCTTATGTACCCATGAATCAGTTGTGCCTCATAGCAATGATATGAATAACAGAACTAAATACTACTCAGTCCCACCCCATCCTCACAGTCGTTCCTACGTTGGAGGCCATTGTTGCAGCCACTATGTTAATCCATCTTATTGAGGATCTTCCTCTTTTTTGCTGACACACTACTTTATCGAGCATGGTAAACCTTCTCTAGGGAGTGATCCTTCCAGAAATCATGTCCAAAATATGTGCTTCTAAAGAGCATTCTGGTTATATTCTTCCAACACAGGTTTGTTTTTCCAGAATTATATGGTATATTTAATATCCTCCACCAACACCATAATTCAAAGGAATCAATTATTCATCAGTCTTCCTTATTGACTGTCCAGCTTTTACGTGAATTGTGATATTGACCATAAATCTTCCTTATTCACTGTCTAGCTTTCATGTGCATATGAAGCAACTGGAAATACCATGTCTGAGGTCAAGTGCACCTTAGTTTTCAATATGACATCTTTGCAGGTTAACACTTCAAAGAGGCTTTTTACAGCAGCTTTGCCCAATGCAATCCACTTCTTCTGATTTCCTGATTGCTACTTTCATGGGTGTTGATTGTGGGTACAAGTAAGCTGAAATCCTTCACGATTTCAATCTTTTCTCCAATAATCATGCCACTGGTTACTGGCCCATAAGTTACAATGAATTATTTAATGTATCTTCTAGCCATAATCTTTGTAAACTCCACCAAACAACTCTTTTCCTGATGTGTCTGGGTAAGAGTAGGTGGGAGAAGATACTGATAAGATAACAAGATTCAGCTGTGGTAGTTAGCAGAGTTCACGGTAATTATAAAAACTTGAAGCTCAAGCATGGGTATAAATGAGTCATCTTAGAAGCAGGAGGTGAGAATCTCATTACCATTAAAGAAGAACCAGGAGGGGAGTGCAGGACTTGTGCCCTGAGATTCTTGCACATTGAACCTTCTTGACCCAAGGTCAGAAAGCTGTGACACCAGAGAACTGGCAGAGAGGCAGAAGTCAACAGAACAAAGAGCCAGAGCAGGAGACAGAGTGATGGGTTTACCAGTCCATGAAACAAGTAAAACAGTGACTGGGGAGGAGACTTGCTTTCAGAGTAGGGTGCTTCCAGGCACTTAATTGGGGAAAAAATGGTTTGCTGACCCACAGAGCTAGAGCCAAGGTGTTCAGGCAGAGATTTATGGTAAAGTGGTGCGTCCTATGGGCATTTATCAGCAGTTCTAAAATTGTAGCATTGACCAGACAAAGGGAGGTCTAACTGTGGGCATGGCTGAGAGAAGGACGCCCTTTCTGAAAGAACTGTGTCCTGAGTATTTTCTAATCCTGAATTGTATGTAACCTGTTAACTTCCCTAATAAACCACATAAATGGGAATATGGTGTCTGAGTTCTGTGTGGCCACTGCAATGAATTATAAAATTAAGCTGAGTAGAGGCTAGTGCTATGGGAAAGATGGCTAGTGCCATCACTTTTTGCAGTCCAGTTGTGACGATTTTGTTTTATGTTGAAGTGTAATACATATTGTAGGCTGCAGTCTTTAATCTTCATCACCAGTGCATCAAATTTGCTTCACTTTAAGCAAAAAAGACTGTGTCATCAGGATACAGAAATTTATTAATAAGTCTTTCTTTAACTCTGATGCTATATTCTTCTTTGCATAGTCCAGTTCCTCAGATTATTTGTTCAGCATACTGATGAACTAAGTATGGTGAAAAGATAAAATCCTGATGCCCACCTTTCCTGATTTTAAACCATATCTTTGTTCTTTCCCTTGGTCTATGAATGAAAAGAACAACTGATGAAGTAAAAGTGCTGAAGAGAAGATTTTAAAAAGCAGCTCCAGAAGACAAGGTATTACAATTAAATGTGCAAAGACTTGGAATTAGAAAACCAAAATGGAAGAACACTCTTGGCATTCTTCAAGCTGAAGAACTAACAAAAACATTTCAATCTTCCAGAGAGTTTTTATGAGCAAAATACTAAATAATGTAGGAAGCATCAAAAGAAGATGGTAGGAATACACAAGCGTCACTACACAGAAAGAATTGGTTGAGGTTCAACATTTCAGGAGACAGCACATGATAAAGAACTAATGGTAGAAGTTCAAGCTCCACTAAAAGCATTGATGAAAATTTAAGACCCAGAAATTGACAGGATACCAAAGGACATGTTTCAACAAAAGGAAGAAGCATTGGAGTTGCTTACTCATCTATGCCAGGAAACTTGGAAGACAGCTACCTATCCAATCAACTATAAGATATCTATATTCCTACCCACAAATAACATCTTTCTAATTTGTGAAAAGGCATAATTGGAATATATTTTTGAAATGTGAAGTAAAAAAATCAAAATGCTATACAGTAGTAATAGTTTACTATAAAAGAAGTTATGTTTTATAGAAGAAAAACTACTTTTTAACTGTTGGTACTTCTTGTTTCACAGGCATAAGAGTGATTTTACTCTAAAAAAAAAGAAAGAGAAATCAATAAAATACATATCAAAAATAAATTCCTAAAAATGTATCCCATATGAAGTTAACAGAAAAAAAGAAAAAACTTCACTGTTCCTGAAGTTGCTAAATTTTCCACAAATCAATTTAGATTTAGAGATTTTTTTTTTTTTTTACAAAGAACTTTATTAAGAGAATACATGTGTCTATTATAAACCACAGAGATTAGTTGTAAAAGGAAACTGGTATTTGATATTAGAATTTGCCATTTAAAGAAACACAATGGAGTAATAAATCATTTATCATTATAGACAAAGTGTATACACAGTTTTGTTTCTTCTATATGCCTAGGGCGTATCTTCTAGGGATATACTTATAAAACCTACTTTTAGATATAAAACAACATGAATGTATTAAAATTTTACAAAAGTTAATGAAAAGAATTCTCACTGAGTAATAATAAGAAAATATAAACAGAGACATGTAAAAATTAACAAGTTATATTACACTTCGTCATAGTTATAAACATTTTTCATATTATAACTTAATGTAATATGCATTAATACAAAAAGTTTTAAAACACAACCCTGTACAGATTTACCATAGGTCAGAATGGACTCAACAGCACTTAACAACAGCAATGCTATATACTAAAGTAAACAAAACATTGATTAATAAGGAAAAATATATATCTCACCAGGTCAAATTATGAAAAATTTATGGCATCCATTTTAGTAATACACATTTTAAGATAACTGAGAGAACACCACATTTTTATTTCTTATAAGAATCACCTCAATGATACAGACAATTATGGTGACAAAAAAGAATCCAAGAATTTCAAAATAACAAAAACTGACTGAAAGAGCACTAGCTCAAAATACGCATAGGACACTTTCAGAAGTTCTTAATCACAATTTTATTTCAAAATGAATTTAAGCAGATTAAACCTTTACAGATTTACAAGTTTAAATGTAAGTCAATCATATAAAATGCTACTAAAGCATGACTGTAATTGCTTAAAAACAGACAAGGGCATTGCCTATATATTCAAATATAAAGTTCAGAATACAAAGTGCTTTAATCTTAAAACATAATATATTTATTAAAAGTATACTTATCAAATTGAAAAATAAGTGTAAGGAAAAGTAATTAAGGCATTTAACATCTCAACAAGAATGAAACATTTAAGTGGGGAAATATTTCACATAAAATGTATAAGATATACATAGGTATTACTAAAGGTTGCTTTCAAGCACTTTACCACAACTAAAAACAGATAAAAGGAGTACTTACCTAATAAAATTTTGGCATCATCCACATCAAAATCACCATCACCATCAGCATCATAGAGTCCTAATTTTCCTATAAAAGAAGACGAGTGATGGATATGAGGACATAAAGGAAAATGAATATACTTTAAGATATTTCTACAGTTCTGCACACTAGCCATACATGTTAACAATCAATGCAATCTCCTTTAATCCTATAAAACAGTACTAAATGAATATCATATAAATCTAATGAGCAATCCACTTAAAAGACTCAGAAAATCTTCATCTAATTCTATGAAATATAACTAAGATGACACTTTCTTTAATGTTAAAAAATATCCTGACCACTTCAGGGTGTTTTTATAGTATTGCTAAAAATATCTTTGATAAATATATTCAACATGAGAAACAATATTGAGTGCTCACGTCAGCAGTACATATACTAAAATTTGAAAGATTACAGAAATTAGCATGGCCCATGTTCAAGGATGACACACAAATGTGTGAAGTGTTCCCACAGAAAGAGTTCCAAAGGATTAATAATAGAATATCACAAATGGACAACACACGAAAAGGTCAAAGGAGTAGAATAGAAAAGATGGAAGTCAGAACTAGTGAGCTGGAACACAAAGCTCTCAATACTACTAAGATAGAGCAAGCAGAAAAAAAATTTAAAAACCAGAAGAAGGTCTAAGATTCATGTTGGACAACATGAAGAGGAAAAACTTAAGAATTGTCAGCATTTTGGAACAGGAAGAATTACACAAATCCACATCAAAAAAATAATACATCATGACCAAATGGGATTCATATCAGGGATGCAAGGATGGTTCAATATTAGAAAAACAATCAATGTAATCCACTATATAAATAAGAAAAAAGGAAAGAAGCACATGATCATATCGACTGATGCAGAAAAGGCATTTGACAAAATCCAACATTCATTCCTGATAAAAACCCTCAACAAAGTAGGAACTGAAGGAAAATTCCTCAACATAATTAAGAGCATATATACAAAATCAGCCTACTTTCAGTGGGGAGAAACTGAAAGCATTCCCTCTGTGAACAGGAACCAGACTCCTATTCAACATTGTGCTGGAAGTCTTAGCAACAGCCATACAGTAAGACAGGGAAATTAAGGGTATCCAAATTGGCAAGGAAGAAGTAAAACTCTCTCTATTTGCAGACAATATGCTACTATACCTAGAAAACCCCCAATGACTCAGTAAAAAAGCTACTAGACCTCACTGGAAGATTCAGCAAAGTGGCAGTATATAAAATCAACATACAGAAATCAGCTGAATTTCTCTATACCAATAACGACAGCACTGAAAAGGACATTAGGAAAGCAATGACATTTACAAGAGCCGCCCAAAGGATGAAATGTCTAGGAATAAATGGAACCAGAGAAGCAAAGGATCTATACAAAGAAAACTACAAAACATTACTACAAGAAACCAAAGAGACCTACAAAAAGGGTAGAATGTTCCATGCTCCTGGATAGGAAGACTTAGCATTGTGAAAATGTCAATACTGCCCAAAGCAATTTACACATATAATGCGATTCCAATCAAGATTCCAAAGACATTCTACAAAGAGATGGGAAAAACTATAACAAACTTTATATGGAAAGGAAAGAGACCCAGGATAAACAGAGCCAGGAAGCCGTCAAGGCAAGCAATAAAGTTACTTCAGGACAAACTCCCCTCTAAGACTGAAACTCAAAGGGAATACATGAATAAGCATGTAACCACACTAGTCTACTGGTAAGTAGAAAAGGGGAAAAGGCAGCAACAAAGAAATAGACTGATTTCAACCACAATCCATTGAGGCTGGTTGGTCCAAAATGTGGTGAGACCTGGGGACACTTGAGCCCATGGACAAGGACACAGCCATAGAGGTCCAGTGCTGAGAGTGAAGCACCCAGCTACTATGAAGTGAGGGAAGATGCACAAGAACACCCAAACTTGCAGACAGACCTAGCCTCAATGGCTTAATAATCAGAACTCAACTAGAGGAAGATTAAGGAAACAAATATATATTTTATAAATAGGAAACAAGGGTAACTTGCTACAGTTTGATGAACCTGACCTATACTCATTAAGGTTGTAACTCTAAATACCAACAGAGAGGTAAGGAGTCTTCACATCAAGTATCAATGTTATCCCCTCTGTACAGAGAGTAGATAGGGACGGGCAACTTAGACATTGGCTACCTAAAATGAGGGGGCGATAAATGCACGAAGTGACTGGCTTACAAGGTTTTAAGAGGAAATTTAGTTTAAGAGTGTGTGTGGGGGTGGGGGAGGAGAAAGACTCCCCACTGAATAGTTTTCATCTTTTCTAGATGTGTCTGGTGAAAAGAGATGGGGATAACAGTCATTAAGATTCAACAGTGAATAATTGTTTTCATGACTAATTGCAACTGTCACAACTGTAAAGGTAGAAGTTTTGTAACAAAAACAGGGAAGAGGCTAATCTTACAGACCAGAAACCAACTGAGGACCCTAGGACCATCAAGGGAGAGGAACACAAGCAGGACCTTATCCAGAGAAACAGCTGAGGACTCTAGATTCATGGGAAGAGAGGGACAAAGAGCTGGTGCCCAGGAAGCAGACTTGTGGAATGTGCCCTTTAGAGATGTAAATATATGCCTGAGTGTTTTGTTTTGTTTTTTAAAGAAAGCTAAAGTGAATGAGAGAAATACTGTTAACTGATGATACATGGAAGGGATTATAATCATTGCAATGAAACAAGGTGTACAATTTGTTGAATGTAAAACTTATGATCTGCCATGTAAATTTTCAATCAAGCCACAATAAAAACCTGAATAATTAAAAAAAAAAAAAAAGTTTAAAGTGTTATATAGACAATCTAAGATAAATTTTAAAAAAAAGAATGTAACCAAAAGAGATCTACAAAAATGAAATGGAAAAATGTACCATGCTCCTGGATAGGAAGACATACCATTATAAAAATGTCAATACTGTTCAAAGCAATAGACACTTATAATGCAATCCCAATCCAGATTGCAATGACATTCTTCAAAGAGATGAAAAAAACAATTACAAACTTCATATGGAAAGGAAAGAGACCCAGGATAAGCAAAGCACTGCTTAAGAAGAATAAGGTTAGAAACCTCTCACTCCCCTACATCAAAACTTATTACATGGCTACAGTGGCCAAAACAGCTTGGTACTGCTACAATGAAAAATACATTGATCAATGGAACAGAATTGAGAATCCAGAAATTAACCTATCCACATACAGCCAACTGATTTTTGACAAAGTACCTAAATATATCGCATGGGTAGAATACAATCTCTTCAACAAATGGTGCTGGCAGAACTGGAAAACGATATGCAAAAGACTGAAACAAGACCTTCACCTCAAGTCTTATACAAAAACCAACTCAACATGGATTAAGGACCTAAATGTGAATCCCAGAATTATGATGGCCATCAATGAAAATATAGAGACAAATGTGAGGGCTTAAATACAGAGCATACACAGACTACCAATCATTGTGAAAATTACACAAAGGTAGACAAAATAGATGATTGGGACATACTAAAAATTAAAAATTTATGTGCATCAAAAGAGTAAAAAGGGAGCCCACAGAATGGGAAAAAATCTTTTGCAATGACACATCAGACAAGGGACTCATTTCTAAATTGTATAGAAAACTCCAACACCTCTACAAGAAAACAACAAATAACCCAATTAAAAATGGGCACATAACATGGACAGACACTTCACAAAGGAAGACATTTGGGCAGCCAACAAACATGAAGAACTGTTAATTATCATTAACCATTAGAGAGATGCAAATGAAAAAAAAAAAATGAGTTATCATCTCACACCAGCAATAATAGCAATGATCAAAAATGTAGAGGACAATAAACATTGGCGAGGATTCGGAGAGACTGGGATGCTCTTGCATTGATGGTGGGATTGCAAAATGGTCCAACCACTCTGGAAAGCAATATGGCGCTTCCTCAGAAGGTTGTAAATAGAAATAACTTGTGATCTGGCTATTCCTCTACTTGGTATTTACCCACAAAAAATACGTGCCTTAACACGAGTAGATATATGCACACCAATGTTCACAGCAGCACTATTTACAATAGCAAAAAGATGGAGACAGCCTAAATGACCATCAATGGAAGAGTAGATAAACAAACTTTGGTACATACACACAATGGAATATTATGCTACCTTGAAGAACAACAAGGAAGCTGTAAGCAACCGCATAACATGGATGAACCTAGAGGACATTATGTTGAGTGCAATTAGTCAGTCACAAACGGAGAAATACTATATAGGTCCACTACTGTAAAAGACTAAGAAAAAGAACCCATACTAAAAGTATGGTAAAAAAAAAAATTATTTGCTGGTTACTGGGATATGGGAGGTGGGGTGAAGGGAGGGAACAGAAGGTGAAGCACAGGGTAGGGAATAGACACAGTATAGTTTGGGTGCTGGGGAAGATGGCAATACACAAGAAGGGGGAGGGGAATGGAAGAACAAAGTGGATGGGAGAACAGTTAGGCAGGTTTGCTTGGGCTAAGTGGGACAGAGGTAAATAACGATGTATGCACAACCTTGGAACAACAGTGCACTGGGATTACAGGGATTGAGGCATGGTTTGAATGGGTAAAAGGAGGGAAATGCTGTTAAAGATGCTTGGCTGTCTTTTGAATCTTGGTTTCATACCATTGTAAAAGAAACACTTGAGGGGGAAAGAAACAGGAGAGAAAGGAATAGCCATAAATATCACCATAGAAAGAATGTTAAGTCCATCTTCTGCCTATGACTGATTGGAATACCTAAAATGGGGCTACAACTTTCCTAGAGAAGGAGGCTTCCTGTGGAGCCTTTGCACTGCGTAAGACCATAGATGGAATCCTGAACCCCATCCATAATTTCCTGAGATGGGGAATCTCCACTTGAAAGGATAAGCAGACCAGCTTGGAGCAGCTAGAAGAATAGAAGACACTTCTTGAAAGAAAGATCAACAAAAAAAATAAAAAAACAATAACAGCAGTCTGACTGACTACTATAACAAGCAAGTTGCTCACCCAGGAGACATCAAGGCAAGTAAGTGGTCAGGTCCCCACAGAACAAACTCCCATCCAAAACTAAGATTCAGGGGGAATACACAAGCAGGCATGCAGTCTGACTGCTAACCACACTGGTCACCAATAAGGTGAAGTGAGGGAAAAACAGCAATGGAGCTCTGAGCTAAGTCCAACCATGTTCAAGGGGCTCCTGTGAACTCGGATGGAGACCTGGGCCCAGAGACAGTGACATAGACACAGAAGACTAGAGTGGAGAGTGAAGCGTCCAGCTGATAAGAAGTGAGGGCATATGCACAAAAACACCTACACTTGCAGATAATACCTACTTGACCTGGCTTCACTGGCTGGGTGATCAGAACTCTACTAGAAGAAGAAAGAAGAGGTAAAAAAAAAAAAAAAAAGAGTAATCTGATACAATTTGATGAATTTGACCCACACCTATGAATGCAAGAGCTCAAAAGAGGGAACAAATCTTTACAGCAAGAATCATTCCTACCACCTTGGTACACAGGATAGACAGTGATGGGCAACTTGGACATTGGTTATCCAAAATGAGAGAGCTACAAAGGCAAGAAGTGACTGACTTACAAGCTGTCAAGAGGGAGCCAAGATCCAGAGGGCACGGAGAAAAGGGAGTTTCAAACAGTTCATGGAAAAATGGAATTAAAAGATAACAGAATTTTTTCATGAACTTTTTTGAAGCTCCCGTGTACATTTATTTGCTAAAATAAGCAGACTTATCCTTTATCATTGGACAATACAGCTATGAAGAAACATAATATTAAACAGAATTAATAAATAGAGCACTAATACAGAGTCCTAAGGAGCTGTGGTAGCGTAGTGGTTACGAATTGGGCTGCGAACTGCAAGGTCAACAGTTCAAAACTACCAGCTGCTCCGCGGGAGAAAGATGAGGCTTTCTGCTCCCGTAAAGATTTACAGCCTTGGAAACCCTGTTCAGGGTCGCTATGGGTCAGAACCAACTTGATGGCACTTAACAACAACAACAATACAGAGTCCTGGTGTGGTGTTATAGGATAAGCACTGAATTGCTAACCATAAAGTCTGTGATTAAAACTCACCAACCGCTCCTATACAGGGTCACTATGAGTCAGAAGCAACTCCACAGCACTTAACAACAACAACACAAAGCAGTTGGCAGCAGAGCTACCATTGCTTTAACAAACAGTGAATGAAAAGATTGTTTAAGTACAGGTTGACATTACTTAAAAGTTGTCATAAATAACTCCGTCCAATCTCTACTTTATCAGACCCCTTGTACCATTAAAAAAAACAACAGTTAACTTGCTATTTAAATTCTTGATTTATAAATCACATATACACTAAGAAAAAAAAATCATAAAATTGTGAAATAAAGAAGCTATTATTTCCATTGCTAAGAAAATGTAAGTCAACAGCTCAAAACTATCCATTACAGATTTAAAGTGATCAAAAAAGAATATAAAATAATACCTGATATGCTTATATGACAAGACTGGCTCTACAACTTACATTCTTTGCTATAAGTAATAACTAATTTAGCAAAATATTAATGTAGTTGGTTTTAGGGATCAACAAATATACACTTAAAATGCATTTCCAAGTTCCTACCTTGAAGTACCTCTGATAAGTTATAATGGAAGTCCTTTGCTTTTGCTGCATGCATATAAAAACATGAAAAATGTTACTTGTGCTTAAATGTATGAATATATTTATTTTATGTAATACTGCTTACCAAGCAAGAGTATCAACTGTAAATTAATAAAAACACACAATTTACATGAAATTTGTCTCCAAACTAAAATTCTTCCTCCTCTATAATCTGTCAATGTATCCAGAGACTTTTCCTTAAAGTAATATTTTCTTTGGCTTTCGTCCCGCCCTCACATCCCACTCCCCACAAAAAGACGGCTAAAACCTAACAAGTAAAGTTGAAACACAGGAGGCTCAATAGTTCTACCAGCTGGCTAAAATTACATGTAAAACTAAATTTAGACACCTGTATGTTTTTTCAGTGATAGAAGTCATATCTTTAATTGGATAATTAAAGAGGAATACTCAAAAAAGATTGTTGTTAGCTACCATCAAGTCGGCAACTGGGTAATTAAGCACTGATGTAAAGAAGCATGAATATCTGTAGTGATTATGTGGAAGGAAAGCAAAAAGGGAACACAATCACAAGTATCTAAGCAACTTTCTCAGAATAATATACAGAACCCACCTATACACAGAAACAAACACATTACACATTTGCCCACGTATGCCTATCTCATCTGGATTCACAGTAGAGCAACAGCGGAGTGTGCTTTGAAACTAGCTAAAGCAGAATTTTGCAATTAGTGTTTATGACACACTGTTGTTATTAAATGTCATGGAGTAGGTTACAACTCATCAACCTTGGTTAAGTTAATCAGGCTGTAAATCTTTGTGGGAGCAGAAAGTCTTGTCTTTCCCAGACAGAGCTCTTTCTACCACTGACCTTATTCGCAGTCCAGTACTTATGCTAGAGAGCCAATGCACTACTTTACATTCCTGTAGTAGTTGTTGTTAAGTGCCATCAAGTCGGTCCCGACTCATAGCAACTCTGTGTAAGGTTTCCGAGGAACAGCTGGTGGATTTTAACTGCCAACCTTGTGGTTCGAAGTCCAGTGTCGACCCTACAGTGCCACACAAAAGATTAATAAACTAGGTGGCTTATGAAAAGTGTCTTTAAATCTGTCTTGGAAGAACTATAGCCAGAAATCTCCTTAGAAGGAAGATGGTAAGACCTTATCTTACGTTCTATGGACATATTATCCAGAGGGACATCAAAATAGTAGTGAGTATGCAAAAAAAGAAAAAACTCTCGAAGAGATGTACTGACACAGTGGCTGGAACAATGGATTCAAACATAGCAACAATTGTGAGCATGGAACAGGGCAAGGCAATGTGTTTCGCCATGTTGTATAGTTCAAGACATGTTTCATAACAACATGAAACAGAATATTACAAGTAATGAGACTGAAAATGTTTCAATACAAACTTCTAATTTTCACTATTAGTCAAGTTCAAAAAACTCTGAAAAGTAAACCTAATAACATCCTTTTTTGTTCCCATCCTACTGACAATCACTGGAAAGATACAGAAATTATCATTAAAGAGTGGTTCATAAGTCTTTATAATTACACTTATAAGAAATATTAGCAAAAGTCTTACCTAAAACTTCCTCATAATCAATAAGGTCAAACCAAACGACAGCTACCGATGTCCAGACACCCAGCAAGGCAATGACCATAAACCAAGTGAAAAATGAACTTCCAGAGAGTCCTCTTTTCTTCCCATTCTTTTGTCCTCCATGCTTGATCTCTGTTTAAAAATTTAAGGAAAGGAAAAATGTCATAGCATAAAAAAATCACTTATTTACACAAAATCCTCTTTTCACAATGAGTTATTTTTCTAGGAATTGTCAATAATTACAATGTAGGCATAGTGGTACAATGGTTATGCAATCAGCTGCTAACTAATCTAAAGAAAGATTAGCAGTATAAATCCACTCAGTGGCTCTATAGGAGAAAGACGTGGAAATCTGTTTCTGTAAAACCCTATGGGGCAATTCTAATCTGTCACATGGGGTTACTATGAGTAAAATCAACTCAGTGACACCTAAATATAATATCATGGTAGCTGGTTTCAAAATCAGTTTTCACTTTAAACTCTCATATCACAAAAAATAAAGACTTTGTAAAAAAAAATCTGCTGAGACTCAATTCCAAGTATGTAAAACCCTAATTTACAAGTAATAAACTACTGATGGACTAATTAATGGAAAAAAAAACAGACTTGCTGTAGAAGGTAAAGTTCCTTTTAACCAAGTTCTTTACCAAAACTATTTAAAACAGCCTCCTTCAAAGTTCAAACTATATTAACTACACAATACAATCATATAGAAATGTAGCCAATCACTTACTTCTGTCCCATTTAGTTTATAAGAAACTTAAAAACTACTCTGTTAACTGTCAGGGAAGAAAATATCCCCACCATTTGTCTGCTAGTTTGTTGTACTGTGGTGGTTTGCATGTGGTTGTGGTGCTATCACCTATGCCAGTGGTATTTTAAATCCAGCATCGTCACCTCATCTCAGACAGATTTCAGCAGACCTTCCAGACTAAGACTAAAAATAAAAATCAGACACAGATCATTTCTGAATGGTTAACCACTGAAAATCTTATAAATAGCAGCAGAACATTGTCAGATATAGTGTCAAAAAACAAACCATACAGCTGAGGTCAAAAAGCACTCAAAATATTACTGGGGAAAAACTGACTCCTCAGAGGAGTTTGACCTTAACGATGTGAATGGAGTTAAGCTTTGGGGGCATTCATTTACTGCTGTGACACAACTTGAGAAAAGAATCAGATGCAAATATCTATTAATACGAGGAACTTGGAATTACAAAGTATGAATCAAGGAAAATTGAAAGTTGTCAAAAATGAAATGGAATGCATAAACATCGATATCCTAGACATTAGCAAACTGAAATGGACTGGCATTGGCCATGCTGAATCATAAGCATATGATTAATTAAGCTGGAAACAACAAATTTAAGAGGAATAACAATGCATTAATAATCAATAAAAAATTTCAAAACCTATCTTGAAGTACAATGCTGTCTGTGAAAGGGTAATATCCATTCACTTATAAAACTAAACCCAGTTATTAACGTCATTTTTTACATGAAAGACAGTCACGATGAAATTCAAGAATTCTACAAATATTTTCAGTCTACAATTAATCAAACATGCAATCAGAACAAACTGTTAATTACTGGTGGTTGGAATATGAAAGTTGGAAGCAAAGTGGAAGCATCTGCGAAAATATGGTCTCATTAATAGAAACAATGCTGGAGCTCCCATAATAGAATCGTGCAAGACTAATGACTTATTCATTGCAAATACTTTTTTAAAACATAAAAGGCAACTACAATGACTGTAATTGTAGAAGATGCGTAACTAAAAAGGGGGAGTAGTTAATCATTCATTTCAGAAACAGATGATCCCAGGACAAGAAAGAAGAGTATGAGTGGAACATGAAATCCTAACCAGAAAAGTAGTGACAGAAGAGACAGTGACAGAGGCAGTGGCATGTAGACACAGAGCAACTGCAGGCTCTAGATCACGGGACTGAGTGTGCCTGTGGGAAGGAGGTTGGCTTGAAGCATGAGCCCTTTGGACACTTAAAAGAACATATATTTGATGTACACACAAAACAAAACTTTTGTATGTGTATCTCAAATATTTTTGCTTTGTTCATTTGTGAAATATAAGATGTAAAAGGGAAGCCAATGGAAGGAAGTAGGATAACGGATGTTACAGGGGGTGGGGGTGGGGGTGGGACTGTAAACATTGCGGTAAAACAAAGCATATAATTTGCTGAATATAAAGCTAATGATCTTTTTTTTTAAGTTTTATTGTGAATTAAGTGATAGTTTACATGGGAGAACATTAGTTTTACATTCATTCTATCGAATATCATTTCATTGCCATGGTCACAAGCCCCTCCATGCATCAACAAACCACAAGCCTGCTCCCCCCACCATTTCTACACAGCCCTGTAATCAGCACAAAGCCCCTCTCTCTCTCTGGGTCTAAAGGCCCCAGCTGCTCCACCTCTCCACTTCACGTCTCTGCCTCCATCTTAAGGATCACTGCTTCTCTGGGTAAGGTCATGCTCTCTGCTCTTCTGCCTTCATGGTCCCAGGGACCTCCCACTCCTAGACTGAAAAGTTAATCACTCCCCTCTTTGATACAAAATGTCTACCTCTACATTTACAACCCTCGCAAGCAGTCCTGATAACAATTATTCACAATCGTATCACAAGAGACCTATCCATGTTTCGTCAGCCCCGCCTAGACAGATTGGCTACTACTCAGTGGAGATTCTACCTTCCTCCACGCCCTCTATATCTAGGTTCCCTCTTGAGAGCTTGTAAGCCAGTCACTTCTTGCCGTTGTAGCGCCCCCATTTTGGGTAGCCAATGTCCAAGTGGCCCATCCCTGTCTACTCTGTGTATGGAGGGGTGGGAATGATCCTTGCTGTAGAGATTTGTTCCCTGTTTTCAGACCCATCTGGCCAACAAGGTCTCAACCCGGGTTCACAGGAGTCTACTGAACATTGTGGGGCTTAGCTCACAGCTTCATTGCTGCTTTTCCCTCACTTCCCCATATCGGTGATGAACGTGGTCACAAATCAGAGCATGTATTCCCATTAAGTCTTAGTCTTGGAAGAGGGTTTACTCTGAGGGGACCATACCTTGATGTCTCCTAGGTGAGCAACTTGCTTGTACTTGTACTAATCAGTTGGTCTGCCTATATTGTTCTGTATTTTTCTTGTCAGTCTTACTTTCAAGAAGCATCTTCTGTTCTTCTAGCCATCCCAGGCTGGTCTGCCCATCCTTTCAAGAGGAAATTTCCCACCTCTGAAGATTCTGGGTGCTGTTCAGGATCCCACCTATGGTTTTATGAAATGCAGAGACTCCACAGGAAGCCTCCTTCACTGGGCACAATGTAGCCCTATTTTAGGTATTCCAATCAGTTATAGGCAGAAGATGGACTTAGAAGCTTTCTATGGTATTTCTGGCTATTCCTTTCTCTCCCATTCCAGTGTCTATTTTACAATGTAATACAAGGAAATCCAAGATTCAAAAGAAAAGGGCTAATGATCGTATCTATACACATTCACACAATTCATATTAAAAAAAA